TGTGGTTTGGATCCTTTTTACACCAAGGGCTTCAATTGTTAAAGAATTGTGTCACACTCGTGGATGCAAATCAAGTGGTACCCCGTGTCTCTGGCAAGTGTTACTCTTCGCGCAAAGGGTTTATACCTAGATAAACGAATGCTTCGACTGAGGTCTGGGAACTCTATGGTATTTTGGAATTATAAAGAATTTGTGCTTTTATTTTAACAATATTGGTTATATTTAGATGTATTCTTATTAATTGAAATACAGATTTGTAGAAGTAATACTTTGACAGTTTTTATTAATATAATATATTCAATTTTTATCTGACCATACCGAAGTAGGGAATTTTGAAACTTTATAGTATTGTGAAATTTGAATTACAATATTACACGATATTACATAATTAGTACTTATTTTAGGTAGGTACTAAATTTGTACTTGGAGAAAGTAATATCGATTTTTACAAGAAAACTTGAAAAGTAAATTAATTTAGTTCCTATTTCTGATGTAAAACTTAAGTTTTGGTTTAAACCAAGAAAACAAATAAATTATAGTTTGTTCAACAAGGGTGGATATGATAGGAATATCACACAAAGACGAAGTTTGAGCACGACGTCGTAGGCAGAGTACTCAATCGTCTGATTGTAATATGAACAATCCACTCGATATGGTCAGTATATTTTTTCTACGACCCACTAACGAAAATCTACAAATTTAAAAAATTATTTTAGGTTATTTAGACAAAATAACTAATTTTAAAATAATTTACGAAGTTGACTAATTTATAAAATAAAATAAACATGAAAAATTAATTAGTCCTCGGCCTAGATTCGATCCCGGGATTTTCGCGTGGAAGGCAGACGCTGTCTTCATCTTCACCGAAACTTTCAGGACTTTAGTTTTAATACTCGTAATTAAATTAGTATCATGTAGTTTGATTAAAATTTTTTTTTTTTTAAATGTGGACACAATAAAAACAAAAATGCTATTATTTATCGAGTCTACACAAAAATTTTAATGTATATTTAATATCAATAACTAAAATATATATTGACAATTAGTTTAACAGAATTGTCACTTATTTAAAAAATTTTAAATAATAGGAGTTGGGTGACCAAAATATGAACTGTGATTTGTAGATTTAATTTTGTTAAAGTGTTCTCACTACCTAAAATGGATATGAAATATATTCGTAGTTGAACGCAATAACATACTTTTTCGTTTTGTAGTATGTGCGTAGATTGGCTAATATTCATGCACAGATTACAAAACGAAAAAGTATGTTATTGCCTTCAATTGAACGAATATATTTCATATCCATTCTAGGTAGTAAGAACACTGCAAAAAAAAATAAATTCGCCAATCATCGTTCATATTTTAATCAACCGACTGCTATTATTTTTAAAATTTTAAATAAATGGCAATTCTGTCAAACTAATTGTCAGTATATTTTTTAGTTATTGAGATTAAACATACAATAAAATAAGTTATTCTTTTGGAAAACGTTAGCATGGATGACTAAAGGGTATTGGGTTAATTAATTCTAAAAGTGTGGTACAAATGTTATTTTTTGTAGCCAATTCTTCAAAATTATTTTGAAATATCTTTTCAATATTGAATATTAGTTCTACAAATTCATCATTTGACAGTTACAGATTTCCAAATGTATCTGGATTGGCGTTATCATATGCCTTTAAAAAGCAATAAAAAGAAAAATCATCTAATTTTACGTGATCTTTGTTATATTTAAGACAGGTATCGCAGAGGAGTGGATCCGCAAGGCTTTTATTAAAAGGTAACCACACACATACCTGATAAAATTTTTCTGTATCAATTCGTCTTTACAATAATTTAGGGAGTTAATAATTTTATCATAAAATAAAATACAAGGTGTTCCATTTAAAAAACATACATTTTAATTTGCCAGGCAAAAACGTGACACCCTGTATATCCAAAGATATTTTTAAAATATGTAGATATTTTTCAAATCCATATAACTTTTATTTAAAACTTTCTTGCGTGTCTACAACAAAATAATGAACAATAACGCACTAATGGGATACCCTGTATAAATTATATTTTTAACAATGAAAATTTCTTATAATGTGGTACTTATCGGTTTGGGTCCTTGGGAAAACTAAAGAATGTTTTCTTGCAGGTATAACCCTTATTAAAACAGCTTTTGACTGCACAAACAGAATGATGTCTTTTTTTTTCACTCATTCTACTCATAGCTAAAGAGTCACCAAAATAATAACAGTACCTTTAACTCAAACAAAATCAACGAAATTATAGGCTCCACGAAATTATACAATCAACGAAATTATACGCACGACTCAACACCTTACCTAAGTACGCTTCTGAACCCCAAAACCGTCTTTTCCCTTCGAAGGCGGAGCTTAAGCGATGCGCGACGAAATCGACGCAAACCGTTGCCGCCAAGAGAGTGTTTTAGCTGTATTGTATAAGCTGTGATATTACTTTGTGTGTAAATTCTGCAAATAACAAATATATGAACAGAGGAGGCTACTTTATGTATTAACTCTGATCTTATACTTATAAACTGCAAACTTGGCTAACTACAACTCAAAAAATGCCTCTTAATGTGTAAAGTTTGTAAAACTTTGGTCGGGAAAATACTATACATAGACGTTCGAAGAGCAAGGATCAAATTCAGTATCAGGATATTCTGGGAGCGGATCCTAATAGCAACACCTCTCTCAGAAAACCAATCAACGAAGAAATGGTAAAAAGTTGGGAAAATATTTGCAAGACGGTTTGGAGAATAGCAAAATATCAAAGTTTCTTCGCCAAATCAAAATCTGGAATACTTTCATTTGAATCCCCCACCTTATAGCCCGAACCAAAAAGTTTAGTAACTAGTCGCGTCATCAAATAACACCAACAGCTATTTATATATGCTGCAAGACCAACTTGAAAGGTGATGGGAAGTTTAGCTGAACCTCTGCAAGCTAGGCTTGGAGGGAACAGAAATAGATGCATCAAAATAAATGCAAATGTAATAAAAGTATAACCAAAGTATATTAACCGTTGAGTAGCGACATAAAGCGTCGGTGCCTTTGATCTTGGGTGGTGCAAATTTTCTTTCTCTCTCTTTTGACGTTATTGACGGAACGACACACTAAAACACTGCTCGAATTATGAACTGGTCTTGAATGTGATGTTTACACTGCTCGACGTAATTTGAAGTAAAACTCTTGTAGTTTACATTTATAATAAAGGTTTGGTCATTAGGCAGTTTTATATTTATGAGTATTTAACTTATGTAATAAATATAAAAATATATATCATTATTGATAAATTTCAATTTTTGTACCTACGTCCGAATGAGCTAGAGACTTGAAAGTTGTTAGGTGCACAGGGTTTTGATTTTTGATAACAATAGAAATTATTACTTATGGACCTTCTTATTTATTAATCGAGTTGTCTCAAACTTTAAATTTCGCGTTTAAACATGTCGCTGAATACAATTTTTGACTAATAAATCCACAACGAATTCCTATATCAGCTGCCGGACTAAAGTGAAAGGGGTTGTTTACATCTTTAGAAGACGTCTCGCCTCTCTATTTCGCGTCGGCGCACTAGAATTCGGTTCCCCAGCTGTCGCTACTCAACGGTTAATATACTTTGGTATAACCACACATCTACCATAGAATATATGCATCGTAGGCACCTTATATATCCGTTTTTAAATATAAATGTAAAAAATATGAGAGAAAAAGCAGATATCGATGGTTTTTCATTTTGGAAAGAATCTTGTAGATATATGGAAGTCAGGCAAAGCATTTGAAAAAACTGGAATACATTTAATTTAAAGATACCAACTAAAAGCAAACAATAATTTCAATCAGTCTTTAAACTTTAAGCGCCTACTTTTAAATAGCGACTGAAGAAAACCAGGCCAGAGAAAGAGCAGGAGAAATACAAAACCCAAAGGACGAACCAACAAGGATTCAGATAAACAGACAGGGGAGAAGAAGTTATTAGGGAAGGAAATTAAGGTAAGACAGATTTGCAGGTAGACTGAATAAATTTGTAAAATATGTGGGCTAACTTAACTAATGATAAGAAAGTCCTAAGATATGTTAAAGGTTTTAAATTATTCTTTAAAACACAAAAGAGCTTTTACCAAAGGATGTTTTCTCTTAGAGAATGCAACAGGTGTTTGCTTGCTAAAGAAAATTAGTTTGGTTTTAATATTTTATAAGACATAGATGAAATGATTTATCTAGATTCATCTTCAACAAATATATAGATCCTCGCATTTAAAACTGGAAGATCTCAGCTCTGCCCAGAATGTTTTGTTACAGGACAATTTTATGTCAAAAATTTAATTAAAGGATGCCTCTTATCTCATCTCAATACATAAAAAATCAGGAAAGTACTTAAAACACAAAATAACTTACGAATTTGAATCTTATTCGTACTTTTGATTTGACCATTTGCTCCATATGTTTTTTTAAACACTTTAAAACCGGTAGTGCATCAACTAAGGATTTTGGAAATAATCTTAATGATTTCCTAATTACATCTTAGTCCAGTGATGAATGTCTCAAACACTGTAATACAACGGTTAATTCTTTACAATCTCTATGACTGATCATAAAAAAAAAGTATTTTTATATAAAGTGTGCGAGAACTCGATTGTTACGTAGCTGATGCATTTCTTGCATAAGTACTAAAATTAGAAAGACCAAGCAGAACTGGTACTCAATACAATACTAGTACTGGTTTATTACAGAGGCCGATTTTGAAAATCTTGCGCTCATTAGCACCCAACGCCATCTATATATAAATCATATAAATTACTAATTATTAGTTATTTTCTTATTTTTTCAACTTAGCTATGTCAACAACTTCAGATGACTATAATTATTCACTGTTGAGTGACCCATCTTTTAAAGGTATGGTATGTGAAACACCCGTTATTAAAGGGAATAGGTAGGCAATAAAAAAGCTGACAAACTATCGAGTGGAAAAATGAAGTTACTCACGTGACTCAGGTTCATTTTCTGTTCTTCCCAGCAACCTTATGCATCTTCTTTTTTCATAGTCTTCTAAAATTTCCCCACTTGAACATTTGGTGATATTAAACTTTCTCTTTTTCTTATTGTAAAGCTTGAATTCGACGAAGACGTTTGTTTCTGTTTCGCAAATAAAGGGTTTCTTTTCTGTGCATCTGTTTGCAATCCATCTAAAATTATATCATTGTTTTAAGTATGAAAGTCAACAAACTTAACAAAACCTCCGAGCAATTACTACTAGAGGGAGTCTTCCCCCCTTCCCCGCGCTAAATTTTGTTAGCAACATCTACTCCCCCCGAGGGGGAAAATACCTCTTCTGTAATTGGCTTATTTAATCAGCGTTGCCAAGTTTGACAGCGCCAGAAGTTATCTGTGAGCGCCAGTTCTGACACTTTCTGACACATGTCAATTTCTTATTTGTATTTTACGGAAAATATTATTATTTATAACGTTGTAAAGGTTGTAAATGTATATTTAAGATTTATTATCTCTAATAATATGGTGAAAACATGCTTTATGTGTAAAAGGCCTGTTGAAAATGCTTCTTCAAGATAATATCATAAGTAAGTACAGACACAACCTAATTATCAGAGGCGGTGCATTAGGCAATCACCTTTAATTTGCAATTAAACTTCTTTATTTTCTTATCGAAAAATTAAAATTAAGAGCAAGTACACTCCAGCTACGTTCGTCTTTATCCGTCTCATAATGATTATAGTAAAGGTTAATTACTCATTATTATTTTAATATCACATCTTTGTAAAGTTTATTGTTATTTTTTTTGGTTTCCTTTTCTTGATATGAGAAAGAAATACATGGTTCCAAAATATAGGAATTCAACAAGTGACCATCTGAATAACTTTTTATGCTAATGCATTTTTATTACAGATCTCAGGGAAGGAAAATATTAAAGAAAAATGCAATTTCGACAAAAGAAGTATAATAATCAATCCTGTCACTACTTCTACACTATATTCATCTGCTACTAAAATACTAAAACAGCAAGTAAGTAGAGAAACTTAAGTTTCTTTCAAAAAGAATGTTTAAGGAAAAAGGCATAGCTATTTTTTTGTTGACACTTTTTTTTAACTAATCTAAAAGACTAATTTTGTGTATTGTTTAAATGTTCATTTTTTGTACTTAATTTGTTTTAGGTTTAAACTAAATGAACTTCTAAGAAATGCATGGAATATCCCAAAAGAGCTAAGGAAGGTTTTAAAATTCTTAAGAAAAGTATTCAGAGCCAAAAACATAAAATAGTCTTCCTGTCCAAAATATAAATAGGTATAAATATTTAGATATTATGAGTGATTTTTTATTCTATAAATAGAACATAATTTGCTTCTAAATCACTACCTAATGAACTATATTATATAGTACAAAACTAAACAAGAATATCACATTATTCATGTTTTTTTTTAATTTCCTTAAAAAACGTCCCAAAAACATGTGAATATTTATTATTGGAGTTAACATCGTTATGCTAAAACAATACTAGAACAACTTAAATAATGTGGATTTTGACTATTTTGAGTTATGCAGATCATTATTATCTAAAATAATGTTTGTCTGGTGCTATAGTCAGGTATAAAAACATTCATTTATTTAAACACAGTTGCAATATACATTTTATTTAGTTTTAAGTTAAAACCTATTAGGACATCCTAAAATTACTTTTTTCGTTTGATGTGAGATTAATTATTCTACATTTTTGTTGGTGAAATAGGATATATTAAGATGTCTTACTGTTTTCTCTGATTATCTAAAAAGTTAGAACAATATACAAAGACTGTTATAACAAAAAAGAGATATACCTTTACTGAAACACACAATTAGTCAGTTCAATTGTACGATAATTTAAAGCAGAAATCCAGAAAACTTTAAAAATGTGTTTAAATGTGTTTTTACTATAACAAGGACATAATTATTAAAAAAACTTGGCACATTAACATTGACGATGGGTTTTAATAATATATATTATACAAATCAGAACGAACTACACAAAATGATATTATTAATAATTTAGTAATAAAAAAGTTAAGTACAATGATGACATTAAAAGTTGAGTTTCTCGAAATACTTTTTTTAAATTGTCTCAGTAACTACCTAGTATTTTTCTAGCACAATGATATTATATGAATGTGCATTGTGTGATATCTTATATTTTAGGAATAAAATGATATATTTTTTGCAGGTTTCTGTTAACAACGATTCCAAGAACTTGTGAAAATATTAAAACGGCATTTGCAAATATAATTCTCAATTAAGAGCTTTTGATCTAACATTAAATTTTTATTCTCCATAAGGTTATAGCTTCCTAAGAAGAAAGTTTATCAAGACTTACCAGACTCAAAATATCAAAATTTTACCAACCAATTGATGGTTCTACTGGTTTCCATAGGAAAATTCTCCTCGAAACTACTAAAAGAAAAGTGGCAGAGGCAACCGAAGAAGGCAAAAAAGTCTTTTGCAAAACAAAAACTAGAAATTTATTTAGGAATCTATTGTTTGAAGTTTTACCATTAATAATTTTTGATAACGATTTAAGATTATAAAGTTCTATTATGAATTTTACTCTTTGATAACCTATGTTTAAATTTTTATTAGGACCAAAATAAATTATAATTTTCACTTCAACTACAAAAACCCTCATAATATTAAAAAGGGGAAAAACGTTAGATTAGTTATGTTCAGGAATAAACTCTTTAAACATTTATCTACTTAAAATGTGTTACTTTTAGAAGGTATGTTATTAACTTTCTATTTGTACTTGTATTAATTTATTTCATTTTATTATCTGTTGTATTTTCAAATTGATTTTGATATTAATCTTATCTATTTATATATTTTTTATACTCACATATATGTTTTTTTCATTAAAACAAACGTCTATTAGCTTATTAAATATAATAAATTCATGTTGTTTTATTATATGCTTGTATGAATGATTACTTTTATTTCCTTTTAAAAATGAATTTCGAAGATAAAGCCGAAACGGTGAGTGAGAATAAAAATTAGACGAAAGTGACGATATTTACTGGAGCTTTCATCTACACGCTCCTTTTTCTAGCCATCTACACCTGAGCCAGCAAGATTCGTCTTCCCTCCATCCTTAAATTCTCCAGATTTACAGAGAAAACGCCGTCCTCTTTAACATATCCAGACCTTCTTTGATGGGGACTATACCACTACATTATCAGCTTTATTTGTTATCCAGAGCAATTTAAATGCATTCGTAATTGCTCATTCTCACCTCTTGTAGATTCCGTACTCAGTTTTCTTATTTTTAGTTACGTTTGCACTGCTCTTTTATTTTCACAGCTTTAATTCTATAATGCTGTAACGCTACAATATGGATCCATTTATGTGGTTTATACTATTTAATGTTATTCGTAAGTGACCAACCCATTATAATAATTAAAGATTATTGTATTACAGGCCTGAAGATGTTCCTGTAAGGCCGAAACTAGTCGCTCCTGTATTTATAATAAAATTTATTTTAAGGTTTTATTCTTCAATTGAAAAAATTAGACCTTTACAGTGATTTTGTTTCTTTTTCTGCATTAGACATATATATGACGGTATTCATTTTAAAAATAGTAAAATTAGCAAATTTTTTAGTTTTTTTTTTACAATTAAAACGTTTGGACAATGTGTGTTTTTATAGATAAATGATACGCCACTGAACAAGAAGGATGTTTACCTTCCCCCTTGTGCCCGCTTCCTCACTTCCTCTACAGATGTTGCTAACACAACAATCGCCTACAAACTCGTTTTCACGCTCCCTCTATTAGTAATTGCTCGGAGAACAAAACAGTGTTATTAAGGTGTTATTAAGGCCAAGTTCAACCCGTTGTCAATGACAAGTGACGGCGACATTTTTATCACAAGAAATACTGCTCTGAACGATAATATTTTCAAAAACTGTTCTCAAAAATGGTTTCAAAATACTGTAAAGAACGATGGAAAGTCTATAGTTTGTTTTACTTTTAATGCATAATATTTTAGTAAGTGATATTTAACAAATATTTAAAAGTTATGAACTTTCCACCATTTTTTATAGTATTTAAAAGTTAAAACGCAAAATACATTCTTTTATTTTTGCCTAATTATTTCAGGAATCTTGTGATAAGATTTAAAAATGTAGGCCCATAAGATGCTGCCATCTGGACAGACGGAATAGACACTAAAGTGAAAAATTGCAACATCGCTCCCCATGCAGACGAATGTAAAATGACTTAGCCCAATTTGACCATGTTTCTAGGTGAGGGGCGAGATTTGTGCGGGGAAAGGTTTCAAGTAAATAAATTATTCTATAAATGGTATTTTCTGTTTGGAACACAACACAAGTATGTTTGTTTTGAAAGTTTGACATTTATAGTTTGACGTGTCATTTCAATTTAATGGACTTTAATAATTCAAAAGATAATGGGATCTATTCTGTAACAATTCCTTTATATTTAACGGCCTTTAAAAATATTGAGGGCCTATAAAAATATGTTCGTATTCGTTAATTTACTTCTGTCATTATTTAAACAAATTTCTTTAAGATAGTCCTCTAATGTATTATAAAGATCCGTTTAAATAATGACAGAAGTAAAGAAGAAAATATTTTTAAAAGCCGTTAAATATAAAGAAATTGTTATAGAATAGACCCCAATATGTACTTATTATTTATATATATTAATATATATCCAGGTATGTTTTCGGTTTTTATTTTTATTTTATTTATTTAGCTAGTTTGCTAATATCACAATATTCAAATTTAGTAAAAAATAATGTAAATGTAACAATTATTTTAATCAAATTCTAAATAGGAAACGCTAACCGTTCAAACAAAATGGCCGATTTTAGTTTTGGCAAAAAGTCATAAAACACCCTATATCTTAGAAACGAGTAAGATTAAAGGCTAAGTATAGGTGTGTTTTGAACTCAGCTAAGAGGGTACTCTACCTCCCATTAAGCTATGTCCGTTTAAATCTGAAACACCCTGGATTTTGTTAGTTACTTCTATACATAGAGGGTGGCAGACATAAAGTGAGGTTATGAGCTAGCAACGTGGTTGAAACTTGAAACACACACATGTATTGTTAATAAATGTTAATTAGCACAACATTTATTTTACAATCATTTGTATATTGATAAGTATTTAAAAAATCTGCAAAATATGTAATCTTACTTATTATTTTGTGCACCATTTAAGGCTATACAGTTCCATCTGAATTGGTCTCCTTTATTTCTTCTTGTAAAAGTATTATCAGCAATGTGCCTGCCATTTGAACCCCATTTCCATTTTTCTTCTTGCCAGTCATATATACCATCTATCCATCGTTCAGCGTCGTCTAAAAATTAGAAAATTGTTTTAGATTAGATAAATAGAATATCTGATTATTACAAAAAAAAACGATATCAAAATATAATAAAACATCTATATTTTATGAAATAAATTGAAGGTTTACCCCGAGAAATTTTGTCGGTTTAAAATGCTGAAAAATACTAGTGAAAGAATTCAGTTATAAATTATTCCTAAAGGGGACGATAACATACCAAAGAAAAATTACAAAATTGAAAAAATGATGCTCTGAGTGGAGCTCATAACCGCGACTGTTTACAATGCATTAAAAATAAAAAATAACAAGTCCTCTACAAAACCCATTTTTTTGGCATTAAAGTATTTGGTTCAGATGGTAAATTACTCAAATATTGGAAAGATATCCCTTACGTGACTGTCATTTGGAGTAAATAAATAAAGATCGAATTTATGGATATATATTATCGACAATTAAATTTCATGTAACATTTTTTTAAATTTTGATAAATAATAGACCTTTTCCGTTATTGATGATCCCTATTACTCATGCGCAAATTCTACTACCGCTTAAAATCATCAAAATTTATTGTTGTTATGTTTCCTGTCGATTTTTTAAAAAAAATGTCAACAAATTTGACAGGCATAGCCGATTGAAATAAAAAATCAAGAATGTAAAAACTGTTCATGAACTCTAAATTTGCGTAAACTAAATAATAATAAAAAAAATCCTAAATGGTGTAGACTTTGACGGTGGCTCTGTAAATCGGGACTCAGTAGTGATTTCGGCATTGATTAAATTAGTATATTTTTAATACTTACCTACAGTTGCGTGGTTATCTTGAGTTATAAACCCTTTAAGTAAATGTTGTTCCCTAAGGGAGTTGAACACTAGCAAGGTGCTGTTTAAGATTTGGCAGTAGAAATGAGAATCGGTCCACATAGTGGATTGCTTGCTGAAGTAGTAACATTTTCTTCCTATTGACTTGAATCCCTCTGGACAAATATATGTTGTTCTGATGGTTTGGGAAAACGTGATGTCGACTGAAAATAAAAATAAATTTATATACAACAAATATTATGGAATTACAAAATTATGTATTATTATTCTTTGAAATTTTATTCTCTAGGATCAACGTAAATATATAGGTTTTTAAAAAATGATAAATGGTAAATGAAATTGTATAATTATTGTTATTTGTTTTCTGTGTATTATTTTTTATGCAGGGTGTCGCATTAGTACGTAATTGTTCAATATTTTAATTTCTGTTACAGACACGCAAACAAGTTTTAAATAAAAGTTATATGGATTTGAAAAATAAATATTTTAAAAATATTTTTCGATATACAACATGTTTTTTTAAATAGAACACTCTGTATTTTATTTTATTTTAAGAATATTTTTAAAGTACTGTATTTAACCCTAAAATGTTTCCAAAAAATATTACAGTGTTGCCATGCAATTAATTTTTTTTGAAGTTAGGGTATGATGCAGAACCCAAATTAAAATGATTTAGGTAGGTTTACATCATAGCCCTCAGAAAGTCTAGATACCGCTTGGCGTATACTGTCAATACAAAAAAATGACCCCATTCAAGCTTGTCGCCATGTTAGGTAAATTTATGTTTTGGCTACACTGATTTTTAGTTTGTGTGTTCTGTAATACGTGAACACCGATAATCTGCACTTTGTTATTAGTTATAAGTGAGTGAGACGCACAATTTCTAATTTCAAATTAAGAACAAAACTTTGACAAACCTATTTGATTTTCCTAGATCTGTTCAGACAGGACCGGTTTTATAAAATTTCTCGTTCTTGAAATGTTATTTTTACATGGTTATATATATATTATTGGATAAGTGTTTTGTGTACATATTGCTATGAGAATTATAGAGAAATTCAGTGAGATGTATGTAATATAATTCAAATTACAAGTAAACCATCTGTTCCTGTTTGGTAATATGGAGAAAATACCTACTTCAATGTCAAATGTACTATTTAAGAGAATGTGATTGTTAATCGATCATTTATTTATATTATATTATGAAAATAAAAACTCGAATTTTTTAACTAGGGAAAGATATACTTACATCGGTAACAAGGTATTTTTAGAAAAACTGATAGATTACTCCTATTCCTATAGTTTATTTGAAAATGAATAATAGCAAAATTATATAAAAATATGGACCTTTGCCATAAAAACTGTGCTACCAAGCATTTTTAAAATAAACTATAATGATAATTTGATTTAATAGAGCGAGTATAAGATCTTACCTGTTAGATAAATTGGGGCATAGGGAAGAGATTATAAAGCAGGTAAGCAGTTGCAAAAGATAAATATATAGAAGTTATTTTAAAAATTTGATAAAAAAACTAGTGGAACAACAAATGGAGTTGTCGCTATCGGAGATCCAATCAGCAGAAAGTAAAAAAAACTTTGGGAATGTTGGAAAAGGGCACAGCAATAGGCCCAAAACAATTCCTTGGTTTTTTAATAAATATAATCTTGTGAGATGCAAAAAATACTGCTAGAGTGGAAAAGCAGTATTGTTCTAATGTAGAAAACTCAGGGACATACAGCAGTGCACTAACCATAGACGAATAGTCACTAAATTATATAAGATTTTATTTTAAAATATTTTTGAGAAAACCTATTATTATTTGTTACATTGAGTTTAATAAAACCACAGATTTCGAATGTATTGAAAGTTATTTAAAAAGTACCTCTATAAATATATAGAAAATGTGTATATGACTAACTGGTTTTATTAATCTTTTTTTGGGGTAGGTAAATATATTTTGAAAAATTTACATTCTTTTGAATAAAAGACAAAATATTTCTGTTTTTATTAACTGAACAATATTTTATACGAACATAATTTAAAAGAAAATTTTACAAGTATCGCATATTTATATGAAATAACTTACTCAATAAGAAAGAATTAAATGAAACAAATTAATGAACAATAGATATGAAAAATTGCTTTAACAATTTAATCCTTAGATAAACTTATTCTTACATATTGCTTTAATCAATTTAGTTACTATAAAAGTATATTTTCTATCATGTATTACATGTAATAAAATAAAGCATAAAACATACAAACTATAATATGTACCTACTTAGAACGGAACTAATATTAATAGAAAAACCTGACCAAAAGATGTAGAATAAACTGTCGCAACGGTTTTTAAAAATTACGATTTTTATATCATTTCTTTGGCAGTATATGTCCAAAAGTGTACTAAATTTCTAAAATAATGCATTCATATATTTCTCTAAATGAATAAATAAAACTTCACCAAAAAAGGTTAAAAAATTCAAGTAATTTGATTGTGTTTACACTCATGTTGTTTAATAGCAATTAATAAATGGAGTGGTAATATTAATAATAATTTTGTTGCCAACAATTTTTCTTTCATAAATTCAAATAATAATTATTAACTAATATTCATTAACTCGAGAGATAAAAAAACCCATTTTGTTTAATAACTTTAGATGATGGGGTGATAATATTAATACCTTTATTGCCAACAATTTTCTTTCTACATAGCAATTCACAAATTACATTATGCGTCAGGTACCTAAATAAGTAAATGTAATATAAAATAATAACCCCACTAGAAAAACCTAAATTAAACAATTGTGGGACCATGTTTCTAGGATCAACCTTATCCAAAGCTTTAGAACTCTTTATTCTTGGTTATCCAAAATATGAACAGAAACATATTCAATTAAGCATAAGTTAATAACCATTTAATGGTTATTAATAAAACTTTGAAGATCTTGTGAAATATTATCCAGGAAATAGTAAATAAATGCAATTGCAAAGAGAAATAATAAAAAGTACACAATAATATTGGTCTATAAATTGCGGTTTGATTTCGTCATACTTTTAAATATTATATTGTACATATTATTGTTTCTTTACACAATTCACTATATTTTCAAGTTTTTTGTTAATGCAAAAAGAAAAATTTGTTTCACAAGTTATTTCACTGAATAAGTTCTAGTTTAACAATATAAATTCAAAGACTTAAATTAATTTCACCAGTGTGTTACATAGAAAGAGTTTGTTGGTGAATATCTTTTTTCAGCAAATATTTCATCATGGCTGAAGTAACAATGAACTTGTAATATAACTAGTGAATGATGCAATACACATTACTCAACTTTTATAGGCTATATAAATCTAATGAGTTTATTTCAAAGAATAATGGACCATAAAAATGCGATACAACAGAAAAGTTTTATTGTAAAATTACTTGGTTATAATTAAATTACAATGGCATAAATTAAGTTGTACATAAATAATTTAAATGAACACAAGTAAGCTATAAAGGGTTGTACATGGGCAAATAAAATAAGACAAAACCATATTCTGAAAAAATTATCATCAGAAGAAAAAGTTGTATCAAGGTAGTAATAGTGGACATTTTCGGAATAAAAAAAAGTAAAAAAGAAGTAACGGTCGAAACGTTTTTCTGACTATTAGTCTTCATCAGTACGGTGCAGCCAAGTTCAAAGGATCATGGAACTTGTGTTGGAAAAATTGTACAATAGCATAGGTCACTAACAAGGAGCCAATAACACATTTGCCGTTTCAGCTAGTATCCTCAAATTTTCTGGGCTTATACTAAAGTTACAAAATGATTCAATGGTCTTCCTATGGCTATCAGTTATTCTTTCCTAAAATTTTTTGGTATGCTACAACAAAACATACAAATTATTTGATTTTGTAAATACACAAATATTTGTAAAAACTTACACATGAAATGTTATTCCTTTCTTGAATCTTCTACCGTTAGATGCATTGTTACATTCAGGTACAAAACAACAAGAGATTTTGAAAATCCTGTAAAAATTTAACACCAAACCACAAATGTTTTTTATTAAAATAAAACACTAAACGACTAAACTAAAAAATAATGTTTTATATAGAAACTTTACTAGAAGAACAAAATAAACAACACAACAGATAATAAAATCGATAATATACGTCGAACGACGATCTTACGCTTATTACTTTTATTTTTCTATGATTACTAAACTTGCGCCGATTCTGTCTTGTCAGTAGTGCCAACTTAAAATTTATTGACATTTATTTATCATGGCGCCCATCATATGGGGGGTCAAAATGTTTTTACGATGCGGTATCTAGACCTTCTGAGGGCTATGGTTTACATTGATTTCAAAATTGTTTAATATACAGACATAAAATACTAAGCTAACGAATAGTGGTGATAGAACTGGTTTATTTTATACGGAGTGTTTTAAATATGGGTAATTTTCAGTTCAACACCCTGTGTATTATTTTAGCATAAAATTCCTTATAAATTTGCCTATACAACGATACTAATGTTTAAGCCAATAACACATATACGGGGTGTCCGATCAGTGCGTAATTAATCGATAGCTTTTTTATTATTAGAAATACGAAGAAATTTTTAATGTAAGAATTGTATGACCATATTTAACAATTATTCTTAAATATACAGGGTGGTCCATAAACGGGGTGTTGACCAAATCTATACTTTTTTAAATCAAAACACCCTGCATGTAGTTATACATATTTGACTGTTTTCACATCTTCAGATAATTTTAATTAGTTCATTCATTTGTTATGTTGTATATAGGGTGTGTCAAAACGTAAAGACACGATTTTCTTTATTTTTTAAATGGAGTACCCTGTATTAATTAGTTGGTGGTATAACATATAGGGTATTCCATTTAAAAAATTTAGAAAATCTTTACCCTGCATTTTGACATACCTTATATAAATATAAATATAAATAAATAAAGTGCTTTATTAATAAAAAACCATTGAAAAATATATGTAAACAAATATTGCAGGGAATAAATTCTCTAAAAAAATACTCCGGAGTTGAGTTTTTTGCCTCCAAAATTCATATATTTACAGGCTATGAAAGTTAGAAAAAAAAAACAGAAAAATGCAGTTTTTTATCTTTGAAAAATTTAGTTTATAATTAATATTTTTTTTATATTTCCTTCATTTCAGTGTAAGTTATCTCATTTAGAATAA